TAATGAGATGATGTGTCAACTTTTCAGAGTGAGATTACTGTTTGTGATTTTACATCTACTAGTATTTTCTGTGTGTAACTAAGTGGACCTGTGATTAGCATTCCACTGCCCTTTCCATGCATTATTCCTTTAATCAATACCAAGAAATGTTTATCATTCCTCTACAAATTTTGGTTCAATGCTGTTTGATTGTATTAAATCAGAAACATTTGCTTGCTTTCTAGTTACATTTGCCTTGAACTCTTTGTTTTATCGTGTCATTATAAGGTCCCACCTGTCTTTAATTAAAACATACATCAAACATATACTCTTACTTTTTGATGCAACTTCCTGGCCAGTGTCTTTTGAAAAGGGAATTGACATTAATATGCAGTTATCATTGAATAGTGTCTATTAATTTCAGTCATTTTGATGATTTTTTGCCAAGGTACACAAGCTGTATTTTTATTTCTTCTTTAACTATTGGTCTTGTTTGGCTAATGGTTTGTCTGATAAAATACTCTTACAAGAAGCAAGTTAGGAGCAGGAAGTGCCTATCTGACTTACATGTTCAGGTCAACAATCTACCTACAGAAAAATCCAGGGCAGTATTTCAAGAAAGAACTGAAGTGAAACCAGATTACAAATAAGCTTAGTAATTTAATCACTGTCTCACAGTTAGTTTTGTCATACAGAGCAGGTCCACATGTTTATTCTTTGGGCCCTGCCACATCAATGATCAATTAAGACAATCACTCAAGTACAGAGCCACAGGCAAATCTGATGGGGGTAATCTCTTAATTGAGACTGTATTGTGACATTGGGATGTATCAAGTTGGCTGCTGAAACTAACTCATGCTGTTGTTGTTTTACAGATAATTTTTTTTCTCAATTCTATTTTGTAGAACAGACTTGGTGGCTGTTAATTCATTTTCCAAGTTTTTAAACATATAAAGTTTTTTTTTTTTAATTTATTCTTCATTTATGACAAAAAGCACTGCTAGGTATAGTACTCTGACTTGTCAGTGGTTTTATTTTTAGAACATAAAATACAAATGTCCAGGATTCCAGTCTTTTAAAATTGTTGATGTGTCTGTTATTCTGACAGGCCTTCCTTTATATTTCGCTCAGCCATTCTTTCCTACTGATTGCAATGGACTTTCTTAGTTTACACAGTCATGAGAAGGGAGAGAATAAGTATGTAGGCTACTGCTTTTTGCCCTTCACCTAGATGTTTCCTCCATTATACTTCTCAGGATCCCCCTGAGTAAGGAACAGTGCTATCCACAATTTACATCATCCTTCTGCATCATCAATTAGCAATCAGAACAATAGTTAAAAGATTTATGCAAGGACAATATTATCTACATGATTCTTCATTAAGACTGTCTTGCAGAGTATTTACGGATTGTGTTCAGTTGCCTTCTTATCTTTTTCCTTTACAGATATTTTCTTTATTATTATCTGGGGTATATGCATGTACAGTGTCTGTGTGGATAAACATGTGTCACAGCACATTAGTGAGGAGCTAAGAACCACTTTGTGAAGTCAATCATTTCCTTGTAATTTATGCTGGTTACAGAGACTGAGATCTGATCATGAGGCTTATATGATAAGGACTTTTACACATTGAGCCTTTAAACAATCCCACTCTTCGCTTTTGTAAATCTGTTTATTTCATTTACAATTTTGTACTTGTGCTAATTTCTACTTTTCATTGTTCAATAAAGTTGTTCTTATATCTTTCTGTGAAAATGATACCATTAGGAGATGGAGAGATAGCTCAGTGGTCAATAGCACTTTCTACATTTTTAGAGGAGTAGGACTGTTTCCCAGCACTCACACCCTGAGTGTGTCACAACTTTCTATAACTCCAGTTACTGAGTAACTGATACCATCTTTATTCCTTTGCAAGTATGCCCACACATACTTGCAAACTCATATAACAACATATAGGCATATACAAAAATAAAAAATGGAATAAAATATTATAAATGATTTCATTAATTTCAACATTCTAGGACTTTCCATCTTATCCAAATCTCCATGTATATATTTGTAAAATGAGGCATTCCTTTCATTGACATTCCTTATAACTGGTTAAAAGACTAATGTTCTTTGAGTTCATTCAATATCTCTATGATCTGTCTTTGTATGAAATGGCTTTAAATATAACTTTTATTTCTTTGATAATTCCATACATTGTATTTTTATCATATTCATTCATTTCCATTTTTCCTCTCATATCCTCATCTCATTCCATAAGCATCCAGCTTTGTATAATCATTTTTTAAGATTTATTTTCATATTATATCTACATGCCATTTATCTGCATGTATATATGTGAACCACAATGCATGCATTACCCACAGTGGTCAGAAGCACATCAAAAATTCTTCTGCAACTGTAGTTAAAAAAGATCATGAGTCACCATGTTGGTACTGGGAAGTGAACCAAGATCTTCTGTGGAAGCAGCAAGTGCTCTTAATTAATGAGCTATCTCTCCAGTCCTATCACTTTTTTAAAACCACCCATTCCAATTAATGCTGCCTATACATTATTGGGTGTATGACTATCCAGTGTAGTTGGATAAACACTCATAAAGTAAACTGACTCTCTTCAAGAAGCTGTCAATCACTAGTAGTTCCTCAAAGGTGGCACATCAAGTGGAACCTCTTGTCCATGCTGGTACTCATTCTGTCTTAAACTAGGACAGATATGACACATAATGTCACAACTGCTGAGTTCATACGTCCAACTGCCATGAAGTGTCCAGAAAACACTGTTTTAGTAATGTTGTCAAACACCTCTGCCTCTATTCTATGTATCATCTCCATCCAAAATGATCCCTGAAATGTGAAGAAAAAGATTTAATATAGAAGCCCCATTTACTGTTCAACCCCTAAAATGTCACTTACTGTCTATACCTTGAAGAGCTGTGAGTCTTTGAATTTATCACTGTTCAGCACATTGAAAACTTTTCTGATACTGGGTGAGAGATAAACTGAAGTATAATAAAAAGTCAATTTGAGATGGTTTCTGAAGTTTTTTTTTTTAACAAGGCATTTTTGGAATAAATAGGTCTTAGATATTGGAATTGGTGTCCTTCAGAAGTAAAGAGATTTAGCATCAAATATTGCCTCCCTCTTCCTGAATTATTTGGTTTTATGATTTCAGTAAGAAAAGCCTTAGATCTTGTTATGTCATTTGTTTGTTCTTGATTTACTTTGCATAATTTTTTGTTTTTAAATAATATATTTATTCTTTGAAATTTAAAAAGTGAATATAGTGTATCATATCCTACTAGCTTTGGCAGTATACACTCCAACACACTATACATTCTCCGATATGTCCATACCACATCTTAATATTTAAAAAAAATACAACCCACTGAGGCTAATTTGTGATGCCCATAAGTGCATAGATGTAGGGCAATCGATATGATTATGAAATACCTAACAATATTCCTATACCCAAAAGCTGTAAGAGTCTTTCTCATCTAGCAGTCATCAGCTGCAAATAGATCTTCAATCAGGAGGGGGGCTTCAGGACACCCTCCCTCATCCATCCAGTAATACTAACAGGCTTTATGCTATGCATTTTTTCTGTAGGCATCCATTGATGACATGAGTAAATTTGCATAACAGTCGACTCATGTTCAGAGGACAATATTCAAAGATGACAATTTCAAAGCAATCCACTCCATTATCTACCTTTTGCTTTCTAAGTCTTCTTCCACAATATTTCCTGATTGAGTAGAGAATGATAGAAACCACATCAATGACTGAGCACTCACAATTATGCTTCACATTTTGATCACTTATGAGTCCCTACATTAACTAATACCAGCTCCAAAAAATAATCTCTAACAAAGGTAAAGAACAGCACAAATACATGGGTATAAATATAAATATATAGAAGATAGTTTGACAATATGACAATTTAGTAAAATGACAGAAGGAACCATAGTTACATCTATGACATCTCAAGCCATGAGTTCCTGGCCAGGAGTATAGTACCAGGCATGAATTCCCTCCCAAAGATAAAGCCTCAAATCCAATCAGACATCACTTAAGTTACCCTATAACAATTGTGCCATTGTTGCATTACTAGGCACATCTGGCCTGGTACATCTGTATTGTAGCATGTGAGATTAATGCAGGGTAAGAGCATTATGGGCTAAATCAGGAACTGAACATTGAAAAATAGAAATGAAAAGTAAATCCCCATGGTGAATTGCAGACATCAGTATGCTAAGTAGAGAGATTCAGTTCAGATTCCTCTGTGTCTTGTTTCCCCACTTGGCAGTGCCCTATATATTTCTCATAATCAACATATCTTCCTCCAATAAATATGCTCAGGTCATTCTAAAACCTCATAAGCATTCTCTTTCTCTCTCTCTCTCTCTCTCTCTCTCTCTCTCTCTCTCTCTCTCTCTCACACACACACACACACACACACAAACACACCACACACACGCACGCACACACACACACACAAAGTTGCCTTATTCCAGTGACTTACTTTGTTAGTCTAGTTATTAATGATGCCATCGAGCCTTGATTCATACCTCCATATAGATTTCAGCCAGTAGGTTGCTGTATTGATGGGAATCTTTCTTTCCAACACCATATAAAATACTATCCTCCCATCTCTGTCATCAAATTTTTCTGTCTTTCTAGTACATCTCACTAGAAGGAAGGTATTTACAGGAATGACCTCTAGATTCCTGCATTTGTGTGAAAAATTCCCCCAGGAAATATTCCTATCCTTGCAACTTGGCAGTAGGATATCTCCTCATGGCCTCCATGGTATGACTATGTGGTAATGAGTTTGTTAATGACATTGATTTTATCAGTTAGTTATTTGTGTATTTGCCTCAAACATCATGTTTAATGCTATAAATAGTTAATTTTTTTCTTAGTGAAGCTTTCTGCTGCTGCTTTCAGAGAAGTGAAGAAAGTCAAGCAGATTTTGTAATAATGATATGTAATTGACAATTTACTTCTCCCTGTATACAGTTCTATTTGGATCATGGTTTGAGCATGTCCGTGGATGGCTGTCGATGAGAGAATGGGACAACTTCCTAGTGCTCTACTATGAAGACATGAAAAAGGTCTGGATCAGTCTTACAGTCACCACACAATGATAAACTGGATCCAAGTAATGAACAATGTCATTGAGAACTGTGACTTTTTGTTTGTTCTGACATTTTTAAAATTATCTTTTATTGATTAAAAGATATTTAAATGCAAATGCATTATAATCATATGCATCCTCCTCCTGAGGCCTTCCAGATCCTCTATGCCCCATTGCCCACCAAACTCTAAAGATTTTCTTTGAAAATAATCTAGTACTACAATTATCTCAAATCAAAAAGTATACATAATAGAATGAAATATGGAATAATATGCTGGATAGTTGTGTGTCAACATGTCACAAGGAAGAATCCCCTGAAAGGAGGGAACTTTAATTATAAAAATGCCTCCAAAAGCTCAGGTTGAAGGTAAATCTGTGAGGCATTTTATTAATCATTGATTGAAAGGGGAAGGCCCATCTCCTTGTTAGAGCTGGCATACTTGTGTTTTTTAACAATACAGGTACGTATAACATGGCCAACAAGTCAACAAGCAGCACGTTTCTATTGTCTCAAAATCTGCATCAGCCACCAGGGTCCTGTGATGTTTCATTTCTTGTCTCAACTTCCTCCAATGTTTAAGATTGCTACATAAGTGTAAGCCAAATGATGTGTGATAAAACAAAATCTATTACATCAAAGTTAGACAAGTCAAACCAACAAAAGGAAAAGAGTCTGATTGAAAGAACGATGGTCAGTAACCTACTCATTCACTTATTCAAGAATGTCATGAAAACACTAAACTTGAGACAATGATATAGACACAGAGTATGTGGGACAAACCCAGCCAAGCTCTGTCCATGTTGCTTTAGTCTCCAAGTGTTCATGTTTCTTTGTGCTCTCAATTTCCTCTTGTTTTACAATCTTGCATCCTCTTCTTCTGCAGGATTCCTTGAGCTCTGAAAGGAGGACTTTGATGGAGACATCCATTTAGGGTATCTCACTTTTTGTAGTGTATGATTGTAAGTTTCTATATTTGTTCCCAAGAGGAAGTTTCTGTGTAAAGAATGCACTGTTCTATGCATATAGCAGAATATCATTAGGAGTCATTTTACAAATTTCCCCTTTTTTCCTTTTTAAGAGCATTATTTAGCTGGGCGGTGGTGGCGCATGCCTTTAATCCCAGCACTTGGGAGGCAGAGGCAGGCAGATTTTTGGAGTTCAAGGCCACCCTGGTCTACAGAGTGAGTTCCAGCACAGCCCGGGCTATACAGAGAAACCCTGTCTCAAAAAAAAAAAAAAAAACAAAAAAAAAGGAAGAAGAAGAAAAAAAAAGAAACAGCATTATTTGGTTTTACCATAAGACCCTGGGCTATCTAGTCTTAGGTCCTTGATTACACAAGCAGTTTAGGCTATAGGTTCTATCTCATGAAATGGGATTGAAGTCAAATCAGTTATTGGTTTGTTACTCACATAAAGCTTTGAGATACCACTAATCTAACTTATCTAGGAAATAGTACACCACTATAGATAGAAGGATTTGTGTTTAGCTTGGTTTCTATATTTATCTTTATGGAGCACACAAAGTGCCTTTCTGTCCTAAAGAACTAGGACTTAAGGATGGAAGTTCTCTATAGGAACTAGATTGACATCTTCGCATTCAGTAATTTGTATAGGTTTATTTTTGTCTTTTTTTTTTTTTGCAATGAGGGCTTGCAGTCACTTTGTGGAGAGCAATTTATTTTCTTTGCAACAGTCTGGGCTTATTGAGAGTGATTCCCATGGAGTCTGTATGCCCAAAAACTCATTTAGATGTAACCAAATCCTAGTATTGTAAATTTTCATTCATTTTCTCTCTCTCTCTCTCTCTCTCTCTCTCTCTCTCTCTCTCTCTCTCT